GAGCCCCCTGACCCTGGCCCCCCGCCTGGCGCAGTGCACTGGCACCCCAGCGCGCGCGTGCCGAGCCCAGAGCACCCCCTCTCCTCCCTCCCTGTCCCTCGAGATGCTCACCAAAGCCTCGACAGCACCCTAAGCCGGTCCCGAACCCAGGACCCCCCGTATCGGCACCCAGAACCCGTCGGTTGGCACCTACTTGTTCGGGTCGGCCCCTTTGAAGTACGCGTTGACGGTTTCCGTGAAGGCGGCGGCGACGGGCAGGGTGTCCTGTGCCCCCATGGTGAGGGGGCTGGGTCCCCGCGACGAGCCTGCAACAGTGCAAAAACCTCCACTTCTTACGTGCAGGGAGAAACGGCACCGCTCCCCCCCGGGCCGGGGCAAGGGGTGCTCACCAAGAGCCCCAGCCCAGCTTTATGGGCAAATACTAAGAAAAAAATCCCTCAGGCTTTGGATGAGGCTTTAAAACCATTCTTAAATTATCTTTCTGGCCGCCCCCCGCCAAAAGCGAGCAAAGAAGATGACGACACTGCCTGAACTCCCGCCTGCGGGAAGCCCAGCCTGCGGGGAGCCCTGCAATTCCCGGCACGCTCCCTCTCCTGCCAGGCGCGCCTGCACGGCGGCTCACCCCCCAGAGCCTACGGCACGCTACGGCAAATCTGCAAACCGCCAGCAGTCTGGAGCAAGGGGGGAGAACGTGGGACTCGGGGTGCAGAAGCTAAAGCAATCAATCTGCGGTTTGTTTGGGTGATTAAAAAAAAAGAGGAAAAGCTTGCTTCGGTCGCGCTGTGCGTCCATGGACACTAGCCAGGCTCTAAAATAATTCAGCCCTGCACGGTCACACGCAGGTTTCCCTTTGCCGGCCAGGAACGCCCGTCTCCGAAAACGTTTGAGGATGAAAGCATCACTGCAGGCGTACGCCAGAAGCCCCGGGCGCGGGGGACCACCAAAAGGACGGCGAGCGGGGGCTGCTGGCACAGCAGAGCTCTCCCCCCGGGGACGCTGCCGAAAAACCAGCCGAGGGTTTAGTGTCTTGTCACCCACTCGATGTACAAGGTGCTGATCCCCTGGGCACCCAAAAAAGTCCTGAAGAGGTCACCACCCCTGCCCTGGCACCACCCGTTCTGATCTGTTTTCCTGCAACACGCCGTTTTGGAACCTTTTTCTTTTTAATATCACAGTCTGTACATCAGGTTAAGCACGAGGATTATTTTGCCCCAAACAAACTAAAAAGTAACGGCAAAGGTCTCCGGAGGGGCAGCTTCCCCGGGGACCCCGACACCCCCTTACTCTGTTACCTTCATTTACCGGGTCTGAATCAGGCAGGCTACGAACTCAGCCCAGGGTTTTGTGTAGGGCACGCAAGCTGTGCCAGCTCCCGGCACGCTTCTGGTGAGCTCCTGCTTTTCCTCCTGGGCTAGCTTTAAAGTGAATCCCCTCTCTTTTTCTATCTGCTGCTTCCCACCGCTGCCCCGTCGCCGGCTGCTTTTTGCCTCGGCTCTAAGCAATCGGCGTGCAACGCGGTCCTGCCTTGCCGCTGCAAATTTTCTGCGAGGAAATGATAGAGTTTGGGTGCAGGAAATCAGGATTCGTGATGTCTCCTGGGGAAAGCGCTTCTGTCGCTTAAATTACGCTTTGAGTTTTGATGGATTCATCATGAAAAAACGCGGCGTTCGCAGAGGAAGGTTCCTTGCGCCTTACAAATGCATCCGTGCGGGCAGTGCGTTAACGTGTAAAACCAAAGCTGAGCCTCTCCGGTGCTGAGCTTTTCCCTGCAAATGTCTAATGTAGCCTAAAAGGGTGTGAAAAATTAATGTCACCACGCGTCTCCCTCTTGGTCATACATCTTAAGACTTGGGGGAAGAAGCGGGTCTCAGCCGCAGCCCGGAATAACGATGCTCGGTAAGCGCAGCGCGTCCGGCTGTCCCAGCGCACGGGACGGGCAGACTGCGCATCTCACCCGCACACGCCGCGCACACATTAATTACCCTAACGACGCCTTTGAGGACGCAGCCCCGAGCCGTGCATCAGGGGCCCTGCGAACATCCCCTTCAGGAGCAAGACGCTTCACGTCGGCGCCAGCCGCGCGTGAAGGCACGGGCAGCTCCCCAAAACCACCGGGCAGGCGGGTTATCGCAGCCGTAGCCGCGGCAGAGGGGACACGCAGGGCCGCGGGGCAGCATCGCAGGCTGGTAGGGCATCATATTTTTTAGAAATTCTTTCCATAGATGCCACCGCCGGGTTACCGGAGGGTGCAGAGAGCGCATCCTCGCTCCCCACACCCAGAGCAACGACCCCCCCCGCGCGTCGAATCCGGCCAAACGCAGGCAAGTGGGATGTTCTCATCACATCTCTCACCCCGATATACGGCTGAGATTCAAAAACATGGATGCCGAGTGGCTATAAGGGGTGAAAACGGGGCGTATCAGCCAGCAGAGGAACGTCAGGCTTCTCTCGGCCGGGAAGGCGAGGGGAAGGCCGTTAGCCACCCAGCCGCAGCAAAGCCCGCGATGCTCTGCAGTATAATAATTACTCTTTGGGAGACAAAAAAGAAAACCCTCCCAAACGTACACGCTCCGACTGCAGCTGGCTTTAGCCGAGACCCCGCACCGGAGCATCGCACGAGGGGTAGGCGTCTGTCCTGCCTTTTCCCTGGTTTTCAACCTCTCGCTTCTTCCCCCGTTTCTCTGTACGCGTGTGAGACTTCTTCATTCTCCAGAATGAAAAAATGGTATGTACAAGGATGAAGCAGCTCACCTCGCGTATCCCTGTCACCAGGCTCAGGTGGCCTTTGGAAATCGGCACAGAGTTCATCTGAACAGCAACAGCAACAACACTTCCTCCACATTTCTGATCTGGCTTTGAATAAAAATCACGTGGATGAAATGGGCATTCAGCGTTCTCGGTTCCCTCTACTCTTCCCCCACGAACCTATATATTCTTCTCTTAACGGCTTCAGTGACTAAACAGTTTTTTTAACAAAAATTTTAATGTAAAAAGTATACTCTCTCTATTTTAAGCCCTGCAATTCTTCTCCAGAAACTTGAGAGACAAGTCCAGTTAAAGCACATACTGTGGCACACCTCCGCCAAAAATCTGGCTTTTCAGTGACTGCTTCAGAAGTTATTTTTAGAAACTTTTCATTTTGGCCAAATGACCTGATAATACTAGAGGGGGGAAAAAAAAATCCACTTTATGGGGCTTTGGATCCAGCCATAAGCAGCACACCAGGTTCATTCGCCTTACTCTTCTCTACACAAAGGTGGAAAATACAGACGGTGGAGTAAGGACAGCTGAGTCCCTGGTACACAGCTCTGCCCGCGCATCCAGGGGAGCATCACCAAAGCGGCACCGCGTCTTTGCACGCACGAACAAACTATCCCACGTTCTGCAAATACATGGATCTTCGCACAAGAAAAAAAAACAGCCCAGAAAGAAAAGATTATTTCTCCTCTGGCGTTTCATGCCCTGAGTTACAGATGCCAAACTCGGCAGATCTCCTTTCGCCTCCCTAGAGGTGTAGGTGATGAGCACTGAAGTTTAAGTTTGTTTTTTTTTTAAGTTGGACTCGAAGATTTAGGGATAGGTCAGGAACTACAGCGCGTGGAAGCGCGCCGGCTCCTTCCCGGGACGCGAGATGAGCCCGG